AGAAGAAAATGGTTGATATTGGTTGTGTGTTGATGCTAACTGAGTTAATTTCCTCTGTTTCTGGTCAACTGGTAGATTGTTTGATTTCATGTAATTATACATAAAACTGCCATTTGTTTTTTCATCTGTGATAATATCTAAGTTTCTTATTATCGGTAAAAAGTTAATGTAATCATTAATGTATTTTTCATCAATGTGACCCTTTACTTCAGCCACGAATAAAGTATTTTTCTTTCTAATAATTCCCAGTGCTTTTGCTTTCTTTGTTGCTGTATCACAAATGATAACACCATTCAATCTTCCCGGCATATACATTTTATGGTCAGTATATTGAATGAAATCATGAGGATTAGATGAAAATGATGAAGGATATAATGAATTAAAGTCAACACCAACGAAATGAGTCATAATGTTGGTGGTGTCCTCATTTGATACAGTTTTAGTTTCTGGACTATATGAAAGTTTATTAATGTGCGTGATTCCTTTAAGATTAACACGATGTTGAACATTTGATAGACCACCAGTAATTCCATTACGGAGAATGTGATAAGCTTCAAATGAATCTAAAGTCATTGGTAAATTATTTTTTAATGTATAATTTCTTAAATTGATTCTTAAACGTTGAACATCTTCATCTTTATTTGATTTTACGACATTGCAATAACAACACATTAACTGACAATTTTCTTTAGTATGTGGTTTTTCATTATCGATTCTATCCAATGTTGGTTTATTTGCATATGTAAACGCTTTACCACACATTTTGCATTTAGATGAAAGGATTAAATCGTGATAGTATTGAAAATCATCCATTGAAACATTATTTTTAGTATCTCTTTCTGCTTTTTCATCTTGTTTCTTATATGATTCAATTTTATATTTCCAATACTTTTTCGTTAATTCAAAACTTGATTCTATCTCTTCCTCAGGATATTTTTCATTAGGATTAAAGTCTTTATATGCTAAAGCGTAACGAATCATTGAAGCATTCGATGATAAAGAAAGATTATGAAGCATATCAATTTTATAAACAAATGTTTCTTCAATAATTTTATCGATTGGGTCAATCATAATTTCAACATCTTTATTGCAATAATGAATAAAATATTCTAATCTATTCTTAAAATTTTTAGCATCATTGAGATATATTTGATAATCACTATCTGATATAGTTTCTTGAGTTAATGCTGAATAAAATGAATCTTGAGTGAATGGTTCCTCTTTATATAATTCTTCTTCGTAATTTTCCCACGTGATGAATTGATAAGGGAAAAAGGATTTAACACGTGATTTATTGTTTCCGAAATCTTGAGTGAATTGGTCTAATGTCCCACCCGCTATATAATTTCTGATGTCAATAAATCTCAATTCATATGGAGCGTTTGTTTTCTTTACAATGACTTGCTTAAATTGTGAAGATGAACCCAGCATTGATTTTATTTTCCATTTTGCAGTGTTTAAATCACGAAGAATTAAATTTAAATCAAACTTTCCCGAATTAAAACCTATGATATTCACTTTATTGAATTCCTCATCTAGAAGTTCTTTAAATGCTTCCTTCTGTTTTTCATTTAATGTATGGGACAAAGTCCCCGCCGTTTGCAATTTCAATAATTCATTGTATTGACTCATATTTGATTTAGCAACTAATGAACAGGTTGAAAATAAAAACTCAATCCAATCAGAAATAAAAGAATCACTCGAAGTTAAGCAAAAATTCCTCGTATATGTTTTATCGTTTAATTGAACCGTTGATGATACCATGAATGGTTTTAAGTAAGCGTTCAAAGTTGCACACTCAGAAAGTTGTAATTCTTCTTTAGTCTCTAATGTTTCGAAGTCAAAAGTAATATAATATCTTGTCGGTTGATAATATTCCTGCAAATTATGAGCTAATAACCACTGATATATCTTCTGTTTCGTAATATGTGGTGCATATGGTTGCTGTGTCTTTTGCAACTGAACGTCTTGAATTAATCTCCCATTATTTTCTTTACATTTCTCACAATGCTTTAAAAATCTTCTTTGGTTTTTTCTTTCTGGATCATCACGGATAGAATAAACTTCTTCTTTACAATATGGACAAACTTTATAGCCGGTGAGTGCTTCAACGTCTGTTATTCTGTCAGCGTGAAGTTTTCCACATGGACTCTGTGTTAATAAAATATTTACTGTTTCAAATTCTGGATCTATCATTATTGATTCCACTAATGGAAAGTCTACCTTATTTATGTCCACGTCTTCTGGTTGAGGATCACAATAATAGAAATCAATATTAACATTTAACATTCTCGCTAATCTCTCACTTTCTGATGAAATGTCAAACCCTTCATATGCATCTATTGCTTCATTTAAATAGCTTCTACGAGTTTTAGGATTAACACCATCAGGAATGTTATAGAAGCGTTTAAATAACCTTCTACCTTCTGCTCTAATTTGATTATCATTCATTTTAGCGGTTCCGTTTTTGTTCATTTATGTAAGAATAAAAAATTAAAAAATAAAGTTTATTTTTTAAAGCCCATAAAATGAATTAAGAACACATAAATTTTTATCATCTGCGACGTGACGAATACATTTTAATTTACTCAAGAATGCGTACCCTGATACATTAAATCTAATTCCTGTCTTATTTAATTTCACAACTTTGAAAAGGAATGTATGAATAGCTATAAATGATGAGAAGATGTTTTATGGGTTGCTTCCATTTTTTCTGAAATAAATGAATAAATATAATGTTTATAAGTTTTCATATCTTTTATGTTCTTAATAACGAATGGTATAGACCTTTCAACTTCGTCTTCCTTCGGTGCTGTTCTTTCATATGAAACATTATTGGTATCTTCAACAATGAAACCGCAATCACATAAAATTTTATATGTTCCAATGGTTTCTTTTGATATTTTATCTAATAAATCAAAAACTTTATCAACACCAGTGCATTTATTTAAATAATAATTTGTGTAAATATCATGATCTTCTTCTTAATCGTATTAGTTGCATATGTCACGTTTTTAAGAGCTTTTTTGAATTTCTCAGAATCGAGAGGGGGTGAAAATAAGATACAAGGGTATTCTTCATTATCAATAAATTGTAACTTATGTTTACGTATAAATTTAGTACATTCTTCTGAAAGTATTTCGTCTATTTCACCATCTAATAAATTTTGTGTTGATTCTGAGACATAATTTTTATATCTTTCTTCATGAGATTTCGGAACTTCTGATTCTGAAGCTGGGATATTCATTAAACCCTCTACTTCATTTTCATTATATTTTTCAACTTCTCTTAATTCCTTAATTTTTTCATCTATTTCATCTCTTATTTTTTTCAGTCTTTCAATTTCATTGTATTCATCATCTTTAATCCGTTCTTCATAATATTCGGGGAAAACATCAGGTTCTTTAGGTTTTTCTTCTTCAGATGTGGGATATAAGAAATTTATAACATCATCTTTATTCATTTTTCCATCATAATCTAAATCATTTAATAACTCGGCAAATTTTTGACAATTTCTTAAATAATATTTATTAACTTCATAACCTACCTCCTCTAATATATCCTTTATTTCCTCGTTTGTGAATCCTAATTTTTTAACGTTGTTAGTTTTGACGCTCATTTCATACAAAATAAAAAAATAAAATAATAAACATAACTAAGTTTTAATTTTTCGTAAGAAGTTTATTTTATTTTTATATATAAATCATTCTTAATGTCAAACAGACTTCTTATTTTTATATGAATTCCATCCTCTTTAATGTCATTAATGATTTCCATTTCATTATTTTCAATTTCTTCTTCTCGTTTATGAGGTCTTTGATTATGACTCCATTGATTCCATGAAATTAAATATTCTTTATCATTATATTTATACCTCATTAGCTTATTTTGGCTTTCATATTCATTTAATAATTCACAATCTTCATTTTTAAATTGAAGTTTAACCCATTCAGGATTTAAACAATGTTTAATTAATCGCGGAATATCTGACATCATCTATATATAGCTTCTTTTATAAAAGATAAAAAAATAAATTATTTTAAAATTAATGTTAATTTTTTAAAATGTGTTTAGTATATAATATTTATTACTAATTTATTTAATAATGTCGCGCTTTCTTACGAATTCATGACTTAAAAAACGTAAGAAAAAATTTTTATATCATCTATATATAGAAGATGTGAAAATATACCTTCATCTATATATAGACGTAACAAAAAAAGTCACTAAACCCTTCAACATATACTACTTTCATCTATTAGTAAACACTACCGTATATTATTTTTTAAGCTATCTTATTTTTTGAAATTTTATTCAAATCTTTGGTCGCAAGAAGAATTGCATGATAAATAAAAACATTTAATCAAAGTCAATTTTATTTTTCATATTCAAATGGACTGAGTGTTAACATTTAACATTTTTTGCTAATTGTCGTCAAAAATTAATATTTCATATGGTTTTGATAGATAAGCATTATATTCCCACTCATTATATTCGTAAATTTTGAGGTTTATCCTTCGCTTTTAAGATCATTGAATTTGATTTTTATATAAAATAGTTATATATTAGAAAATAAAATGAGTTTATGTGATATTATTTTTCAGAAGATTTCATTCTATATGCCTATGAAAAGTACTCTCAAAACTAACTTTTTCCTAATTATAATTAAATCTAGAATGTTGTATTATGCTTAGTATTATTTCATTTTTCTCATTCAATTTAGAATTTACAAATGTCAAAAAATTGAGAGCTGTCACTTTTGATGAATTTCTGTTTATTACAGAGCCCCAAAAAGTGAGAATGCCAGAAAATTTTCTGACAAAATTTTCGAAAATTTTGATTAAATAAAAAGAGGATTTAGAAACTTCAATATATAATGAATCTAAATATCTATTTATTTTTGGCTAAAACTCAAAATTGAGAGTGGTAGGACCCCTGTCAGATTTTATGATGTGATTCATTGAATGAAAAAAAGCTATAAATAGGGAAAGCTCGAATATATGAATAACCCAAACAATAACGCAGGAAATGGAGCGACAGGAGCAAATAACGGAAATCCCCCTGGCCCACAGCCCAATTATGCTCTTCGGAGAGCATTTTTTAATGCTTTGGGAAATAGAAATTTCATTAGATCCGTTGAACTATTACCAACCGATGAAGCAACTGACGCATCCTTAATTGAAGAAATACAAAAACTATCAAGTCACGCCGAACTTTTTGAATTTATCGAAATTTCATTTCAGCTACTTCGAACTGCGAGTTGTATTCTAGTTTTTCGGACAAATAATTTCGATTTTAATGAGTTGGAGCCTCCAATTCTATGGAACGATAATTACCTCGTTATTACCTTAAACATTGATCCAAAACATTGTAGCGTCGCTGCCTATCTTTATGCATTATACCGCAGGTCCCGCTTCGAAGTAATAGCAGTTAACCATCCAGCAGGTCTGGTTATCATTCACGAGGTCGGACATGTCAATGATGCCGCTACTAACGTAGACAAATTGATGAAAGACGTCGATCCTAGCAAACATGATCATGATAGAGTTCTCGCTCAGAACTTTGCGGCATACAATCAAGCGAATTTCGATGCAAGAGTTTCCCCTTTTACAGATTTTATCAGGTCAAAAGTCATTAAAGCTATTCCAGAGTTGGAACCAAAACTCAGCCAGAACCCAAGAATATTAGCCGAATACTATTTTGGAGATTTGGCAAAAGATTTACATGATTACATCACTTCTAGCATCAACCTTAGTGCAACAGAATCAGGTTTATTGCTAGACAGCATCCATGTTCTTATTAATAAAAGGAACATTACGAAATTCAGACAAAGATTGAACCGTATTTCATCATTTTGGCTTAAATTGAAATTACGGAAGGTCGAAAATGTTATTATCATTCTTGAATGTAACTATTTAATACTCAAAGGATGGAATACATCAAATCACGACGATTTATTAAACGAATTGCCAAAGGCTATCACGTTGCCAGATGGCAGCGTTCGTATCTACAGTGAAGGTGGATTCCTCAGGGCCTATTTTAAATACTATCCTGATGAACTTAGATGCCTTCAGTTTATGTCTCTGCCTAAATTTAATTACCAAGTTGAGCCCTTTTCCTCGGACGACCAGAAAGCAAGCAGCAAGGCTTTGTTGTCACAGGTTATGAAGACTTATCGTATTATAATTCGCTTAAACCATCAATCAGCCATGCAAACAGGAATCGATTTTAATTTAGAGGCTGACCCAAATATTTCTCCGGAATTCACAGAAGCCTTGTGGACCTACTACGAGAGATTTCTCTACTTCACTGCGGTGAAATTTCCTTGAAAATCGCGAGTTGGATCTAAAGTCATTTGAATATATTTCTAAAATAGGCCAAACAGCGATTTTTGTTGCATTTAACTTTTTTATTATTCCATTTTTTCCTAAATTTTTATATATTTTGACATTATTTAAATATTTTAAGCTGAAAATAACACGATGTGTCACATTATATATAAATACCAATTTTAAAAGATCCTGGCATAGAAAATAAGAGCTTTTCCTGCTCTGAGTAGGCGTCAAAAATTTTCTCACTGGGTTTTCGTCTATCAATCCCAATTCATTATATACGCAACCAATCAAAAATCTGATATGGGAGTCCAAGGCTAACTTTTTGTTGTCTACCTAATAAAAGAGGAAGCAGCATTAGTGAGAATAATCGCAAATATTCAATTTAAATTATCTTTTTATTCTTAATTTAAGTGAACAAGAATAAAAAACCTATTCTAAGGCATGTTGTTATGTAAATGAGACTAGACATCATATTTTATGTTATGAAAAAAAATATTTAGAATTTTAGAACAAAATAAATAGAAAAATAGCATAACTTATGATGTGCGTATATTAAATTTAATAAATTAAGAGAAATTATTTTTGGCGCCAAAATTATTCGTTAACTCTCAAATTTTTCTGAGTCAATAAGCCGCCAAAAAAGTGTCATTTCTTTATAGGAAAGGAACCTATTTGACGAACAATCCGGACACTTAGTGCCTCAGCGAATTTCCCCAAACCCACCAATCCCCTCCCTGCTGTTGTGCACCATCGATGGAAAGTAAGTCATCAATAGTCTCTTTTCCTGATTTCAAGCTAACGTTAGATCATTCATGAAAGAAATCATTGCCTTTCATCAGAGACTTTCGTTATAACTGCGCTGCTCTCAAGTTCATCTTGAGAAATTTACGTAATAACTGAATTCCCAAAGTTCTTTAGGTGATCCAAAACACTGTAGCTGCTTGAACTTTGGACGAGCTCTCGCACCCCAGAGAATAGAAATTCCAATCTTGCTCATGTTTAGTTGAATTAGTCTGCAGCAGTACAGCTCTGATACCACAAGATCGTGATGTATACAAAGTCACAACGCTATTTGATTCAACAACTAGCTAGTTTTGACATCAAATTGCAAAATTTGACTTCGTTATGAGCTCTTTGTAGCAAAAAATACATTACACTTAAAGACTAGTTGCTAGACTGTAGTAGTTTGTTCGTATATATCTATTTTTCCCCAACGTATTGCATACTACATTTTGACAAGACTTGCAACCTTATAGTAACCTCGTTGGGAATTGTTCAAGCAAAGCGTAGGTAGTTAAGGTCGAGTAAGAGTTCTTCTTAAATCTTTCACTGAATGAGTAGGTGTTGGAAGAACTGTTCTCTAAAGCGATACAGTTGCGCTACATGTTCGTCAACTTGTCTAGAAATAAATATATCATTTGTTTTATACTTTTTTCGTAATAAATCTATTTGTATTTGTTGTATTTGAGTATGAAGATAACAAAAACTACGGCATAAGACGCAGTACACTGGGCTTCGTTGCCATTTTATTTACCATGTTAAGAATAAACTTAACAGACATGCTTTGTTTTCGACGAAGCCATCTAAAATAACGTACATCTAAATAAAACTAAAAAACTGTAAAATTTCTTTATTTGATAGTATACTTCAAATTATGCACTATACCTTCTAGAATTCAAAAAAAAAAGGTAGTGGGGCCTCCAGGCACTTCGTGCCCTCTAGCCCTGAAGATGTTTAGTATAACTTTGTCCGGACAAGTAAGGGTCTATCGTCGCTACAGGAAAAGTTACGGGCGTTCCAAGGAAGTATACTTTGAGAAGCCTTTCCCCCTTTTAAAACAAGATAGGACGGTTATTTTACAAAACTGACAACACTTTGACCGAGTAGTTTTTTGTGCTGAACAAAAAGTGTCATATAAACATCTGTCAAAAACCGTTTTTTACTTCACTTAAAATGCCACGTAAGCTACGTAAGAATATACGTAAGAGGAAGGGAGCATTGAAACATCCCATAGTTAAAACTGACACCACAACAACAGTTGCAAAACAAATGATGAATGACCCCACTATGTTGCAAAACAATGTCAAGCAACCCTATGCTTTTAAACCGAGTTATTGGTGCACAGAGGGAGGTTTAAGAGCGGCACTTTTAGCGAAAATGGCAGGCTATGGTGGAGGCTGCAGACGGAACAGCTTATAAACCCTCAAAGTCAAATGAATTTGAGTTCACTCAAAAATCAAATAACAGATGTCAAAAAGTCAAACATAGACATACAGAAACAAATAAGTGAAAACGAAAAGAAACTAGAATATGACAGACACACAAAGAAACTCAATGAGTTAAACGTAGAGAAAAGAAGAAAGAAGAACAACTGAAAGAACTAAGTACAGAGGAATATGCGAAAAAAGTGTCAGAAAAAGCAGCAGAAGTAGCAAAAATGGAACAAGATGTTATAAATTTGAAAAACCATACTACTCAATATTAAAGTACTGAAAGATGAAGAAATAAAACAAAAAGCCCTGAAGACATATATGGATAGCGATGAGTATAAAAAAGAAGTTGAAGAAATGTAAAGGCAGAAAAACTTTTACAGTTGCAAAAACAAACCGTACAGTATGAAAACTTAGCAACAAAAAGTAAAAATAACGACGCAGCCATGCAAAAGGCAATGAAAAGCGCAGAATATATAAAAGCTAATAATGACTGGTTAGATGCCCAAGCCAACGCTAAAGCAGCCCAACTTCTAGGGTCAATAAGGACAAAAAATACAAGCGGATGAAGACAGTTCAAATGAAGTTTTAATGAATGCTGACTTTAAGAATGCTTCGAAGCTCTTCATAGTAAGGTGAAACTAGTGAACGACTTCTCATCTTGAAAGAAACTGAAGTCGGAAGGTTTCGACAAAGAGTTAAGAGAAGTAGACACAAAATATGACGAAAATAACAGATGCAGCGCAACGAGACAGGCAGTTCAAAGTGCCTATGACGCCGTTAGAGCAAACTGTTTGTGGAAAGTCAAGAAAAAGAGTTACAACAGACCAAAACAGACCTAGTAAATGCTTTCTTAAGAACGAAAAGTCAGGTAGAGACATTATGCTTCAGATGGAACATATGTGCCAGCTGGTGGAACTTATATACCAGCTGGTGGAACTTATATACTAGCTAGTGGAACTTATATACACCAAAACCTCCAAGAGAAGCACCTGCACCAGGACTACCTAAAACATTTACATCGTCACATGGACACAGACACAGGCATGCACAAAACCAACACAACAACCAACAGTTCAAAATCCAGCACAGCAACCAACAGTTCAAAACCCTGCACAACAACCAAATCAAAACCCTGCACAGCAACAACAGTTCAAAACCCTGCACAGCAACCAACCTCCACAAAGAGCACAGCAACCAACAGTTCAAAACCCTGCACAACAACAACCACAAAACAGAGCAAGGTCATAAAGAAGTAGAGAACAAAGGAAACCAAAGAATTCTTAAAATGCTTAAGGAAGATTATGGTTACCCAGATACTCTTGATTTAGTGACAGATATAAAGAAGCTATTAGAAATTCAAGGAAGGAAATACTGACCCGAACCTATTTAGCTTTATGGTTCAGACCAAATGGATATAATTTCAACCTGGAAAATACAAGCTCGCTAAGGGATATGATTTAATAGCATATCATCCAAATGACATGAATGAATTTACTCCGAGATATTTGGTGTCAGAGCTAAATGATAATTCAATCTCTTCATGAAACGCGTAAAAAATAGAGACGGAACGAAAGAAGAAAGGTTTATGAGTCCGGATGACTTAGATATGGAACTTTGTAAAAACAGTCTCGGAATATATGAAATGCCAGCAGATGAGGTACAAGAAACTCCACAGGAAGAAGTTCAGATACAACCAGACATGGAAGAAATAGTTCAGCAACAACAGCTAGAAGAGCCTGAAGGAAACGACAAGTCCCTCCTTTGGAAACTAACTTCACAGAACTAGATGAAGATTTGGAACAGCCGAAAAATCGTTGACCCTCAACAAGTGTATGCGAGAATATGGAATCTTTCCAAGAGTCTAAGAAAATTCGGCTGACATAGTAGAAGAATATCGAAAAATGTTCGCCGACATACAAAAAGACTCCAAACATCAGATGAAAATATTCAGCATAGAATGGAAGTACTGAAAGAAAATGTACGCAAATACAATAATCCTTTTTACTTACGACCATATAACGTTCAATCTTTGGCTGAACTCGGTGAAAATAAAAGGTTAAATTTCAACAAAACATATAGAAATGAAACATTGTTTAAAGTTCATTCAGAACCTAACCAATATGGAAACAAACCTACTTTTGTTTCTGCAGACTATGGAACTACAATGAGATGGGGTCATAAAGCTAATCCGGATAGGTGGTTCATAAACTTACAACCTCAATTCCAAGAAGTTGTAGACGCAATGGAAGTGAATGGTGAACCAGATATAGCTGGTATTTTCAGCGCGGCTTTAATGCCATTGAAAGATATGAAAGATGCAGATATTTTGGACCAGTATGAAATGAACATGGCTGATGGAAATATAACACCTGACGTTCTAGAACATTTATCTCAAAAGAACTACACAGAACCATAGAGATGGTATATTTGTGAAGAGTTTAGAAAGAAAGTTAGGGAGATAGAAGGAAGAGAACCTATTGTACATGACCTTTGCAAACGAAAGTTTACAAAATGTTCATAAAAACTTACTTTGCAGACAATGAACTGAGAAGGGATGAATATTTAAGAAAAAACTCAAATGGACAGTACCAAATGAAATGTTAGTATTGAAAAACATGTTCCTTGACAAAATAAACACAACTACAGAAATAAATGACGCAAGCCTGAAACGTTGGGTAAAAGCTTTCCATTCACAAAAGATATTATTGGTAACATGGAAAGAAAACCCAGAATGGCTACAAAACATATATTTGGAAACGAGCTTATTCCATATGGACAAGC